TGGTGGCTCCTCCATCTTCATGGAGGTGGGGAGCACGTTTGTGGTACCACCTTAGCCTCTGGCTCCATTCTCTCATCACAGAAAGGCATTTCATTCTTGGAGATCAGGCAGCAGGGCCCAAGGAGCTGTTTTCCTCCATTGTGCAGGCATGACAAATCATTAATTTTTGATTGATTTGCTTAGAATTATGGGCGCCCCAGCATTCTTTCCGCCACTGAACAGCTGTATAACAAATGAATATATCACAGTGCACAAAAGATTAGAGATCTAAGAGAAGCAATTACATTGGCCACCCTCCCCTCCCCCACCCCCTCCCAGCCAGGGAAAGGAGGAAATTTTTACCAGAAATTCCTCAAGTGGCTTTACAAAAAAAGAAAAAAGGAAAAGAAAAGAAAAAAGAAAGAAAAACAAAAAAATGAAAACAAAAAACCTTTTCATAATTGAATTGAATATTTATTTCTTTGTCTTTTAAAGCTGATTTCCAAACACACACCATTTCTTCACCTGCTTGGCTGGGTTCTGCCCATCCAGGAAGAGTCTTTAAGAATGAAATCTTAACTTGTGAATTAAAACCAAAATGGAAAAGGAAAAAAAAAAAGAGAGAGAGGAAAATGTACATATTTTACCCCTCGTTTTTACATTTTTTTGTTGTTGTTGCTCCTATGCCTTTAAGATTTTGGAACTGTACCCATGCACTAAATGTGACCTCCATAACTTTTAAATTAAGAATTTATGCTGGCTTGAAATTTATGAAATATTTCAGCATGAAAGAAAGCCTTTTTCCCTCAGGAAAATTGAGCAATAAATCACAGCGCTGTGGATTTACTGCCCTAGAGCCAGCGAGAGATAGGATTTTTTTTTTTTTGCTTCATTCTGAAAAAAAAAATGTAATCATATAAGACAGCTTAGCTGCTGTCCTCCCACTCTCTAGAATTTTTAATTTCAGCTGTTTCTGCTTGGATTTATTTCCAATATTCCTGCTCGGCTTTTCAATTTCCTCAGTTATTAAATTTTAATTCAGTGCATTAGCATTTAAATTAAAAAAGGGTTTATTTTATCGAAATCGTTGGCCAGCCCCCATCCCCGTAGCACACGAATTGCCTGTTTCTGCCATTTGCACAAAATGTGAAATGCAGCTAATGTCTTACAACTTACATTTGCACAAATTTAGAAATAAAATTTCTGGGTTTGGAATAATATTTTCTTTCCAAGAAAACCCTTAATAAGAGAATGGAAAAGAACATCTTAACGTGCGTTGGGGAGGAAAGAAGAGGGAGGAAAGAAACCAAAAATAGCCTTGCCCAGGTGCTAGAGAGAATCTGGGATATAGGAAATGGGTGGAGCTGGGAAAGAAGGTGGGGTATCAGAGCGTGGCTGGAGGGCTGCCATCTTACTCCCAGCCAGCAAGCGTGAGAAGGGGGTGCCCATGGACCCATACATACCTAATTGGTCATAGAGGTTGGGTTCACTCAACATGGAGTGGCAGAGGTGGCAAGGATGGGGAGGGATCTGATTTTAGCCCTCTGCCCACCCCCACTTTGTGGAGAGCTTCGGGACTACGGGAAGTTTGCCTGAGGTTCAAAGTAAAACCCAGACAGAGCCAGAGCGAGAAGCTACATCGTTTTGGAGCATGTAGTCTCTTAGTAGAGGATGACATGTGACCTCAGCAGTCATATTATCTGAGCTGTTGCAATTTGGGCCCTCCCTAGACTTCTTGCTAAACTGTAATTGATGTCATTTGGGCCATTGGAGGCAACCTTGGGGTTATGGTGATCTGGTAGAACCTATTGAGATGCCGTCTTGAGCAAGGGATTCTGGGAAGTCCAGCCTGACTCTTCATCTTGTTCTTCTTTCCCAGTCCTTCTTGGCTTCTGTAACTACTTCTGGGGCTGTTAATGGCTATCATTGCAGAATCCACACTAAATACTTTAACATAAGTGACCTTATTTACTTCACACCAGTCACACAAGCTGTGCTTGCCATGTGCTGTTGTGATAGTGACATATTACCTTGGAACCTCCCTACTGTGTCCATTGCCTAGCTGTTCTCCATCCTGACCTGGAATTCCTTCATGAGAATGAGCATTTCCGTCTAGATAATCCTTCCTCTAGCAGCTTGTACCTGGTGCTCCTGCCCCACTCTCCGCAAAAGGATTTGTTTCAACAATAGTTTGAACAGTTGGGAACATTCTGCCTTTGTCACTCATTTTTACAAAACAAGTAGGCGTGACCTCCAGCTCTATGAAGCCAAGACTGTCAGGTGTGCCTCCAACAGAGCATCCATCCTGCTTTCTGCTGCACATTCACTGGCTGGACCTAGCCAACCTGGCATACAGTTGTGAAGGAAAGGGCTGGGGAGATGGCTCAGCATTTAAGAGCACTTGCTGCTCTTGTAGAGGACCCGAGTTGGGTGCCCAGCGCCCACACACGGCAGCTCACAGCTACCTATAACTCCAGCTTCACCTGGTCCTCCACCTTCTAGCCTCCACAGCAGCCTATGTAGATGTGCTGCGTATAAACTCACAGAGACACATACACATAAGCAGAAATAATACATCTTTTAAAATTTTTGATGGAGAAGACATTAAAAATATATTTAAAATCTACACCCTGAGTTTAGTTTGAAAGGTAAGAGATTATTTGGTGTAACATGAGGGGCTTCTTGTTGGAGTTTCTGTCCTGCCCAGTTCCCACAGTCTTTAGGTCACAAAGAAAATACACAGAAGTCTACATTAGGGCCTGCTTTTTGGGGGGTTTCTGTCTTTCCACCAGGTCCCACAGCCGGCAAGCCCCAAAGAAATCACACAGAGAGGTCTATATTAGGTTATAAACTGATTGACCCCTTAGCTCAGGCTTGGTATTAGCTCTTATAACTTATGTTAACCCATTATTCTTATCTATGTTAGCCACATGGCTCAGTACCTTTTTCAGTGGAGCAGGTCACATCTTACTTCTTCCATGATCTGGGCAGGACTCAGGAGGAATGGGGCTTCCTCCTTCTCAGAATTCTCCTGTTCTCATCGCCCCGCCTCTACTTCCTGTCTGGTTGACCCACCTATACTTCCTGCCTGGCCAATCAGCGTTTATTTAAAACATGATTGACAGAATACAGACAATTCTCCCGTACCAATTTGGGATTATACAAGTTTTTAAAACTCTCAGAGTCAAATGTCTCCTGCTTTGTAGGAGATTCCTGACACAAAAGCAGCCTTGCATCTAGTTTGAGAAATTTGGAATGTAGAGAAGTGGCCGTAGTTGATCCTGTTCCTTTGATTCTGTGAAATGGTGGCCTTTCCACCAGTTTCTTCTGACATTACAGGTTATCATTCTTTCCAAACCATACATATGGTGGCCCCTCTCCTATCTTCATCTTTTCTGTTTTCCCTCTGTGGCGATTGGGAGCTCCATGGTGTCACCTTGCACTTCCCAAACAGTAGAGAACAAAGGATTCTAGGGCTCAGAAAGGTGGCTTTGGGGTGGCCTCCATCTGAACGCCTAGCTGTGAGTCTTCTGAGTGAGAGCCCACAGTGGGCATTACAGGGGAGGAGGTACCCATGCCCTACACTGGAACTCAACTGGGAAGTAGACAAGGGGAGCCCACAGGGACACTCGCAGGGACCAAGCAGATGCTGGATCTGAGAGGAGGAAGGAATGGAGACTGGAGAAGCAGCAATGTCACCACTGCTCACCCATTACTGTGTATGACTGAATGTCACTACTGATTACCTGGTGTTTGGGTTTGGTTTGTTTTTAAGAGAAACTGAAAGCATGGACTTTTGGGATGAACTTTTTTTTTTTTTTTAACATGTCAGTGGTCTTTTTGACTCAAACCCAGCCTCATGGTTTCACCAGTTTTTAACTTCTTAAGCACATATCAAAAGGTGGCTGTTTTACTTTCGATCCTCAGCCCTTTGTCCACAGCTCTGATATTTAGAAAGTTTGGAAACACAAAGATCATGACCATTGGGCAGTAGAACTTGACCTGAGGGGCACAGCAGTGGCGGGAGGCGAGGGCTTAACTATCCTGTTGTCACTCAGGAATCCATGCAGAGTGACTGTGTGTATGTTTCATCATGGAAATAGCAGGGTGCTAGGTTACCAGAGTGCCACAGATCCTGCTGAGGGTGTTAGAAAATGTGGGGCCTGCAGTGGGGCCTCTCTCAGTTTGGCTGGATTCTGGGTAATGGGCGCATGCCCCTGAGCTTTCTACATGGCCTAGAATTACTGTGGCTGCAGGTGTTCTGAGAAAGCAAGAAGGGCATTGCCTGCATACCGTGGGGGAGGAGGATCCTGGCACTGTTCACATTCCTGTAGCCTCCTTTGGTCTCAGTGCCAGAGTCCTTCTGAGCCCTGGACTAAGAGTCATGACCCCAGGCCATTGTCAGTTGGTCCTCCTGAGACTGGAAACAGCTCCCAGGGCCATGGTCTTTCTATCTGCACCAGAATTTTCTGAATTGTGGAAATTTCATTTGGTCAGCTTTATCTTCCCATCCCCCTTGCCCCCAAATAAAAGGATTAAGAGCTGGCCCTCTCTTGCTTTGCTCTGCTCATAGGGTTGGGGGACAGAATATTTAACATAATGGGATTTCCCCCTCCGGTTGGCAGGAATAAATCTGCAGCCACTGTTTTATTGGAAATCCCAGCTGAAAATAAAAGCAGAGCAATTCAATCTCAGATTTAACTAGTTACTTACTTCTCACTGAGTCCCCAGGGTGTGCAGTTACTGGCTTTGTGTTGGCATTGGTGGCCTGTGTTAGCAGTGGGAGCCTGTATTGGCAGTAGGTGCTCCTGGATTTAAAGGGCCAAGCAGAGGGAAATGGGCAAGTGCCCTGACTCCCGCCTGCCCTAAGGACAGGTTCTCTTGACTGGAGGGATGGAGCAGCTGTTTGTGCCCGGACTATCCATCTGATGGCAAGTGTTCTGTGGGCATCAGGCAGGGTAGTAGTGGTAGTCAGACTCTGTCTTCTGCCTTGGCTGATGAAGGTGTTCTGGGTTTCTTTTGCAGGCTGACGGAGCCAGTGCAGCTGGAAGGAAAAGCACTGTTAGCAGGTACATCCCTCACCACACCACACCCTTTCCTGTCCTTGCTCTTGGCCACTGGAAAGATGAGAAGCTTCCCCTCATCCTCCAGGATATGAGCTGGTGGGCAGTACTTCCCATGGACCCTCTGTGGGTATCTGTGACAGTGACTCATTGAAGAACTTAGCGAGGGACTGCTAAAGTTGGGGTGAGCACAAGTAGGGGAATCCCACTCAGCAGATAAATGACAGTTTTAGGGTACTAGTCCAACTTAGTGTGACATTCCTAGACCCATGTACTTGGGCCTGGATTTCAGTTCTGAACCCAACACTCCAAAGCAAGGCAATGGACATTTGCTGGACAAGAGGGCCATTCTCACCCTTGAAGTTGGCAGGAGATGGGAGGGGATGGCCAGAGAAGAGCTGGGTTCGCATTGCTAGAGAAGGGAGAAAGATGTCGACACATCCATAGGCTTGGTGTAGCCAGCTGACGCTTGGTACATTTAGCTCTAGGGCTGCTGCTGAGCCTTGCAGAAAGCTCAGGTGGCCATGTGCCTTCGTGAGAGGCTTTGGAGTCAGAAGAAACCAAAGGACAGAGAAGAGAGATGGCTTCCTGGCACATATAGTCAAGGGCCTCATGGAAAAATTTGCCTTTGGGCCCCAAACACCAGTTCTTCAAAATGTTGATGGATTTGTTTCTGTGGGAGGACCAAAGAAGGCACTGGGCGAGCTCTGGAATAAGCAAAGTCAAGCAAATTTATTTACTTATTTACTTACTTATTGCTATGGGATGTTTTAGGCTTAAACTTGCTTATGTACTTGCTTGGGTGGGGAAGAAAAGAGGGGAAGGGATGATAATGTCATGTTTCTTAAACCTTTTATTGAGATTCACCTACTTAGTGAATGTTCTTTGGAACACCCTTTGGAAATCCTTGGGAAATGCATTCTTTGGGTTGAAGGGCCGTGTGTTCAGCTTTGTTTCAGCAGCCTTGTGTAAGGTGAACAGAGAGGGTCCATCGAGACACTAAGCGGGAGGTCCCTTCAACACATGTAACATTGTACGCTTGGGTAAGTGGGGGGATGCAGGAGCAGAGTGTGTGGGCTGGAATGGAGGAGAGCTTGTTCCTATGACAAAATACCCTGACAGAAACAGCTTAGAGGAGAATGGGTTTATTTTTTCTCACAAGCCAGGATACAGTTGATAGCAGGGGAGCCAGTGCAGCAGGATCCTGAAACGGCAGATCCCTCGGGGCTAGTCAGGAAGGAGCAGGTGTGTAATCCAGTTGACAGTTCCTCATTTGAGACTCTCATCTCAGGTGATCCTGGGTGTGTCAGATTGACAGTTTTGGTCAGGCCAGCCAGTGAGCGCGGTGGTAGCATCACTGTGAAACTTGTGGCCAGCAGTGCTCTGGATGCAACTTCTCCTGCAGCCTGGTGGTGGACTTCGTGTGTCTGAGTCAGCGGCCCCCAAAGCAGTGGCTCCCTAAGTTCAGACTGGAGGGGGCCTGCGATTCGCCTAGATTCTCGTTGTACATGAATGGGTGCTGAGGCCATGGCTCCTGCTCGGAGTCATCAGAAGAATGAGTGGCTGTACCAGACCTGGAACTTGTCAGAAATGGTGTCCTCCCCTCTCCTACACTCAAGTGGGGGTGTAGCCAGCTGGCCCCCCTTCTTCCATGTCTGCCTTGCACCTGCTGAGGTAGGCCTTGTGCTGTGTGCTCAGATGGATCAAGTAGTCATTGATCCAGCCGGCTTGTGTGGCTTCTGTGTGCCAGACAAGTTCAAAGTGTTGTGTCCATATCTGTGCAGGGAAGTGAAGCTGCATCCACACTGTCACTCAGATGGGAATGAGGTTCTTGCATTTATCATCTGATGCAGGAAACTCTCCTGCTGCGGAGCATGGATCTGAGTCATTGTAGCCAGAACACATGGTGCTGGTAGTAGTGATTGTGCACTGACTCTAACCTCGTGACCATAGTCAATGAAGAAGAGTGTAGAGATCGATTATTGGTTCCTGCCCAGGGAAGGGTAGAAGGGTTGTGTGTGCTCTCTTTTCCTGACCAGCCTGGGCTCTCCACCACATATTTTTAGGAACTGAATGCCTTGTGAGGTGCATGTTTGTATTATTCTGAGTTTTTGCTGAAGGATAGGGATTGATGTGCCTAAGGATGCTCAGTTGGAAAGATGCAGGAGGGCCAGGCTGCCTGCCAGGTCTAACTTCTCTGGTATCTTTGCCCACTCTGCTTTCCTGCCACTCCATGTAAAAGGTCTCAGTTAGGAGTTCAGTGGCCAGCTAGGGGTCCTGGAGGAGTGGGTAGCTGGGCCTGGTGGTGTAGGCTTGTCACCTGACTACTTGGAAGGTTGACGGGAGGGTTATGAGTTCAAAGCCTACCTGTGTTACAGAATGTGTTCAAGACTAGCCTGAGTAACTTAGGGAGGACCCCATTCAAAATTTTTTTTAAAAAAAAGTAAATAAAAGAAAAGGCATTAGAAAAGGAAAAGGCTTCTGGGTAAGTGTGTGGTTCTGTGAGTGAGATCAGTATGGGTGTGTGTGTGTGGTTCTGTGAGTGAGACCAGCAGTAGCCAGGGCTCCTGGGTAAATGCGTGGTTCTGCGAGTGAGACCAGCAGTAGCCAGGGCTCCTGGGTAAGTGCGTGGTTCTGTGAGTGAGACCAGCAGTAGCCAGGGCTCCTGGGTAAGTGCGTGGTTCTGCGAGTGAGACCAGCAGTGCTCAGAGCCGTGCTTCCCCATCTTCCTCCTGCTGCCACCTCTCATGGGGTTCCTCGTACTGTGGTGACCCCAACCATAATTTTGTTTTCATTGCTACTTCATAACTGTAATTTTGGTACTATTATGAATCATAATGGAAATATCTGTGTTTTCTGGGGGTCTTAGGTGACCCCTGTGATAAGGTTGTTAGACTCCAAAGGGGTCATGACCCACAGTTTGAGAACTGTTGTTTTAAGTGACCACAGAGTGTGGCTGGTGAGTAGCTCAGTGTCCCCAGGAGTGACTGACATATTAAAGCATCAAGAGAACCTAAGCTAATGCCTCTAGAGAGTATGGTTCTGGGCAGGTAGGGTATGGTGGACACTGGAATGTTAGAGCTTACTGAGCCAGTTTCAGATGGAAAAATGAAGGTTTCAGCCCCCTCCCCATCAGTAAAGACTGAGACTAGAGAGCCATGGGCTTCAGAAATGAGCTTGGATTTGATATCCAGAAATGGCCCTTCTCCCTCTGCCGGACTCTAGGCTAAGTGGGGTCCTAGACCCTCTCACACCGAAGGCTGACTGTAAAGTCTGTGCCCTTGCTCCAAGGGACCTGTTGCTTTTCTGGTCGTCATGGTTCACTTTTTGCTTAACTAGTTCCTGTTAAAGCTAGACTGTAAGTAGAGCGGATTCTGGAAAGTTCATATGCAACTCCTGCTGCCGGCAGAGACAGCCAGAGAAATGCACAGCCTCACTGGCAAGTGCTGCGATCCACCTGCAGAGACCTGAGCTCGGTCTCCTGGGACTTTTGCTTGACTCTGCTCTGAGGCCTGCTGTGTGTACTCCGTGAGCATTGGGGCTTCTTCCTGACAACCTGACTCTGCTGACGGGGGAGGAAACACCTCACTCAGCTGAAACTTGCTCACACACTATTCGAAGCGTGTTGGTAAAGAAGGTCCTCCCACTCCATAGCTACCTTCTGGTTCCTCCAGTCTGTTTCTCATAGTCTCTGCCTCATCTTTGCTGCTGCCTGGAGAGCAACCATGTCCACAACTCATTTTGTTTTCACTGGGGCTGAAAATTCCCCTGTTTCCTTTACGTAGAAAGCATCCGACTGGGCTGATGGGCTGAAAGGCTGGCCATCCTTTTCCTAGTCTGAGCAAATGTCACCTTTTGTCTGCTCTTGGGGACTAGGGAAAATGAAGACTTGATGGGTCCCTGATATGGACAAATGTCTGTGTGGGATCAGGGAGGTCCAGGATTCCCACCCACCCTCCCCAAGGATACTGAGTCCTGTGATGCTCAGATCCCACTTGAAAATGTGTTATATTTGCCTGTAACCTCTGAACATCCTTCCATATACTTTTAATTGCCCCTGGGTTATTCATAAGTAGTACAGTATAAATGCCCTGTGATGGGCTGCTAGACTGCACAGCCTAGGGAGTTATGAGAAGGATAACACACACACACACACGCACACACACACACGTGTGCACACGCACATACACACACGTGTGCGTGCACACACACGTACACACACACACACACACACACACACACACACACACGGCAGAGTCCGTTGTTGATCTGAGGGCTACTTGCTTGAGCTGGGTGCCCCCTGGAGAGTGCTGCACTCAGAGATGGCTGGGTACAACAGATGTGTATCACCCCTAGTTTTAAGGTCTGACTGGGGATCGAGGGGGAAACTCACCAGAGAGAAGGACTACAGAGCGTCTGATAGCACAGGACCAAAAGGAGGAAGAGCAACCGTCCTGTGAGGAACTTCTCCTTCTGTCAATCCTAGGAAGAAATGGGGGCCATGGAGGGAGGAAAAGGGGAGTTGTTAACCTATAGGCTAGTCAGGAAATAAGATCGTGGGCAGAAGCAATGTTAATTCTGGTTCTGAGACCTTTGGGATCTGTCTATACGTGTCATGAGCAGGGCTGTGTAGGACTTTGGACACAGACCCCTCCATGACTCCCAGATACCTGTTTGGAGGTTGTGTGGGAGCTAGTGGCTGGAGCTGCAGTGTCAGTACGTGTGAGAGCAAGGAACGGGGCACGTGCAGGACAGTTCAGGATTACTGTACTGCCAGGCCCACCGGCAAAGGACCAACCTCCCATGTGCCCAAGTGCCCATGATGTGAGCTCCCAGGTTAAGCAGAACACCTTAATAGCTGAATCTTGACATTTGGGATTTTATGGGGTTGCCTGAGACTATTTCTTTTTTCCTGCTTTAGTTTTCAATTAACCAGGGAATTTTCTCTTAATATTTAAATCTTAACATTGTCTCTCTGAGCAGCAATATTAGTCAGTGTTGTGGCT